TGAGGCGATCGCGGGTGAGTACTCCTCTCAGTGGCAGACAGCCATGGACGCAGAGATGGCATCCTGGAAGTCCACTGGCACTTACGTTGACGAGGTTCCCCCTCCTCGGGCGAACATCGTCATTGTCATGTGGATTTTCAGGGTGAAGCGGCCGCCAGGTTCTCCGCCTGTCTTCAAGGCTCATTACGTTGCTCGAGGTTTCAATCAGCGAGAGAGAGTAGACCTCTTTCAGACCTTCTCCCCCACCCCGAAGATGACCACTCTTCGGGTGCTGCTGCACGTTGCCGCTCAGCGTGACTACGAGCTTCACTCTCTTGACTTCAGCACAGCTTTCTTACAGGGCAGCCTGCACGAGGAGATCTGGCTGCGCCGCCCTCCTGGCTTCACTGGGTCGTTCCCTCCTGGTACCCAGTAGAGCCTCCGGCGGCCAGTCTACGGTCTCCGCCTGGCACCACGTGAGTGGCATAACACACTAAGGACTACACTTGCGGCTCTTGGGTTTGCTCCGTTGACTGCTGATCCGTCGCTGTTTCTGCGCACCGACACGTTGCTGCCGCCGTTCTACATCCTCGTGTACGTCGACGACTTGGTCTTTGCCACTGCTGACACTGAGGCTCTCGCCCTGGTGAAGTCGGAGCTGCAGAAGATACACACGTGCACAGATCTGGGTGAACTGCGCACCTACCTTGGTTTGCAGATCACCCGGGACAGAGCACACCGCACCATCACACTGACTCAGTCACACCTGGTGCAGCAGGTCTTTCAGCGCTTCGGCTTCACCTGGTCCTCGCCACAGTCCACTCCTCTGGCTACCGGTCACTCGCTCTCAGCTCCACCTTTGGACGAGTCCGTAGAGCCGAGTGGCCCGTACCTAGAGCTAGTGGGCTGCCTCATGTACCAGATGACTTGCACTCGACCTGACCTTGCATACCCTCTTGGCCTTCTGGCTCGCTATGTGGCTCCTGGTCGGCACCGAAAGGTGCACATGGATGCTGCGAAGAGGGTACTGGGCTAATTCTGTGGTAAATCAGGCATGGGACTCGTGCTTGGAGGGCGGAGCGCAGCTGTCCTCACTGGGCACTGAGACGCTTCTTGGGCTGACGACTAGGCTACGCAGCGGTCGTCACAGGGTTACGCCTTCAGCCTTGGCTCTGGTTTAGTTTCTAGGCGTTCTACACGCTCGTCTTCTGTTCTCAGCTCAAGTTGTGAGGCTGAGATCTACGCCACACCCATGGCTGCACAGGAGTTACGCTAGCTCACGTACATGGTGACCGACCTCGGAGAGCGGCCTCGTTCTCCTCCAGTGCTGTACGTTGACAACAAGGCCGCCATTGCCTTGTGTCAGGAGCACAGACTGGAGCACAGAACGAAGCACATCGCTCTGCGTTACTTCTTGGCTCAAGAGTTGCAGCAGCGTGGTCAGCTTCGTCTTGCTCACGTGTCCACTCGGGCCAACACTGCTGATGTATTCACCAAGGCACTTCCGTCTGGTGATCATCAGCGTTTCTGCACATTGTTAGGCCTTGTGCCCACTTTTCCTCACTTGCTGTAGTCTTTGTTTGTACTGTGATCTATATATATATACTTGCATGCTTGCTCTTGCTAGGTAGAGATCACTGTACTGTTCTTGTTGCTTATATACCTCTGCATGTGGACTGGCCTTGTGGCCGTTTGCTTGTGCTCAGTGTGTGTGGTGACGTTGTGATCCACCCTGAGCTGTGTTTTGTTTCTTCTCTTGACTGGTCTTGTGACCATTGCTTGCTCTGGCTATCCCCCATTTCGCCTTTGGGGGTGTGTCAAAATATATGCATGTTATTGTCTAGGCTATATTGGGGCTAGCCTTAGGGGGTACGGAAAACTTCTCAACACCCTAGTCTTGTACCCCAACTTTCACGCAATGCATCATCCTTGCCTAAGATTCTAAAAGTTAGAGCCTTAGAAAAAGTTCCGAGTGTCAAACTCAAATGTTATAGTCTCTATAGGCTGTAGTGGGGTAGACAATATGGGGTACAACACTTTTACGCTTTTCCTACTTGTACCCACCTGCTTGCTAGTTCATTCATTCCTGGTTCTTCCACATGGTATAGAGCAGGTTCCCTAGTGGGAACGTTTCCTAGGGCCCACTGAATATCGTTTTTTTTTCCTGCCCGTAGCGCGCTTTGCCCCTGCCCGAGTCGCGCCCTGTGTGCCTACCCTCCCGTCGCGTCCCCTGCCCTTAGTGGCCCGTCACGCTCCCCTGCGGCCCCGTAGCAGCCCCTCTCACGGCCTCTCATGGCCCCTCTCACGGCCCTTCGCGGCCCCTTCAGGCCCCTCGTGGCCCCTTCGCGGCCTCCCTTCACGGCCCCTTCGCGGCCCCTTCACGACCCCTTTGCGGCACCTTCGCGGCCCCTTCGCGGCCCCTTCACGGCCCCTTCGCGGCTCCTTCACGGCCCCTTCGCGGCACCTTCGCGGCCCCCTCGCGGCCCCTTTGCGGCCCCTTTGCGGCCCCTTCACGGCCCCTTCGCAGCCCCTTTGCGGCCCCTTCGCGGCCCCGCCCCGCTGCCCGTAGTGGCCCCGCCCTGTTGCTAGTCGCGGCCCCGCCCCGTTGCCAGTCGCGGCCTCGCCTCGTCGCCCTTCGCGGCCCCGCCACGTCGCCAGTCGCGGCCCCGCCGCGTCGCCCCCGCCTTGTCGCGTCGCCCCTGCGGGACCCGCGAGGCGCAGCTCCTGTGGATCGCGACGCCCCTGCGGACCCGCGTGGCGTCACACTGCCCGCCGCGGTGCCCTGCCCTAACCCGCGCCCTTGAGCAGCCACCACTGCAGCAGACGCCCCTGGAGCAGCCGCCACTGCAGCAGCCGCCTCTGGAGTAGCCTCCCCTGCAGCAGCCGCCCTTGGAGCAGCCGCCCCTGAAGCAGCCGCCCCTGGAGCAGCCGCCTGTGAAGCAGCCGCCCCAGGAGCAGCCGCCACTACAGCAGCCGCCCCTGGAGCAGCCACCCCTGCAGTAGCCGCCCCTGCAGCAGCCACCCCTGCAGCAGCCGCCCCTGGAGCAGCCGCCCCTGCAGCAGCCGCCCCTAGAGCAGCCGCCACTGCAGCAGCCGCCCATGGAGCAGCCACCCCTACAGTAGCCGCCCCTAGAGCAGCCGCCCCTGCAGCAGCCGCCCCTGGAGCAGCCGCCCCTACAACTGCCGCCCTTGGAGCAGCTGCCCCTGCAGCTGTCGCGGAGCCCTCGCCCTTTAGTGGTAGCGGCCTCGCCATTGCCGCCGTCGTACGCCTGCCCTTCTCGCCACTGGTGAGCACTGCCCTGCCCGTACTGCTGTTACTGCTTCTCTTGCTGCTACTGCTCTTTCTACTACTAGTGCTCCTCCTGGCCTGGCCAGATGCAGCTCCAGCGCCGTCCGCGTGAGTCCCTCACCCCCCAACAACTTCGTGAGTGGTACGCTAGTTGGGGTTATAGGGGTGGCCGCGCTGCGACTAGTGCTATTGCTACTACGGCTACCACTGCTCCTGCTGCTCCTGGCGGTGGCCAGATGCAGCTCCAGCGATGTGCGCGTGAGTCCCTCACACCCCAGAAGCTTCGTGAGTGGTACGCTACTTGGGGTTGTTGGGGTGGCTGTAGTGGGAGTCGTCCTGGAGTGAGTAGTTCGGCAGCTGCTTGTAGTGGCCAGGTGCAGCTGCAGCGCCGTCCGTGCGCGGTCCTTTCGCCCCGGCAGCTTCGTGAGTGGTACGCTCAGCGTGGCGGGTCACGGGGTACTGCTCGCTGTCCGTACGTCATTCGCACTAGTTCTCGGACTGGTCAGCCTTGTGGGACGTTTGGTCACGCAGAGTCCCGCTGCTTCGCCCGTCTGAGCGACGCCTGGCGTACGGAGTTTGGCGACGCGGCTGAGCTCCCCGACTGGGTGGAGCTGCTTAGGCTGCGGGTAGATATCTATACTCTTGACTATGATGCTATCATCACTGCCATGTATGCATTGCCTACTAGTGATGAGGGTGACTGTTACCTGTGTGTTCCGCCTGACCCGGGCATTGAGGCTGCTGCTCTAGGTGCTGGTGAGGCTGCTGCTCTAGGTGCTAGTGCGTCTGCTGCCCCAGGTGCTGGTGAGTCTGCTCTCTCAGGTACCACGTCGGCTCAGCACATTGCTCTTCGCTACTTCCTTGCTCGTGAGCTGCAGCAGCGTGGTCAGCTGCGCCTTGCGTACGTGGCCTCTGAGGCCAACACCGCTGATATCTTTACCAAGGCACTTCCACCTTGTGATCATCAGCGCTTCTGTACGATGCTAGGTCTTGTGCCTACTTGGCCTCACTTGCTCACTTCTTGACCTTGCTTGTACTTTGATCTTTCTATACCTGCACTTGCTTGTTTACCTTTATATGATCTTGCATGTGAACTGGCCTTGTGGCCTTGAGCTTGTGCTCGAACTGTGTGGTGACGTTGTGATCCACCCTGAGCTTGCTTTGCTTTGCTTGACTGGTCTTGTGACCTCTTGTTCTCCCTCACTTTGCCTATGGGGGTGTGTTAAACTCATATGCTATAATCTGTGTAGGTTGTAGTGGGGTAGACAATATGGGGTACAACACTTCTAGGTTTTCCTACTTGTACCCACCTGCTTGCTAGTTCATTCATTCCTCATTCTTCACAGTCTGCTGGGTGGGCGGACCCAATGCAGTGCCTCGCACATTGCTTGCCTCCTCCACCAAGAAGCTCGCAGCCCGACCCAGCTCCTCTAGCTGCCTCGAGGGAACAGCTTTCGGACGTGCAGACACAGCTTGGCTGAGCTTGGAGAGCTCGTGCATGAGCTGCTGTCGGCCGTGCAGCAAAGAGCGAACTTGCGATCTGATTCGTTCAGCAGTGCTCTGTTCACCATTTTGCCGTACCGTCGCAGCTCTGTGATTGGCTGGCGGAGTCCGGGCAGCGCTTGAGGGCGGATAGACTGCCCTCAAACGGCCGCACCACCACCCACTTGTCTGCCGATGCCTCCGTATCGCCTCCAACCACACTGCAGCCACCAGAATTGCCTTTAGACTCATGGTAGACCTGGCTGAGCCTGAGGTAGCTGTCAAGGGACTCAACGGTGAAAGCATGCTGGCAGGGCAGCACGAGCAGAGGGCTCTCCTCCAGCGTCTCCCATATGATGAGATACACTCTCATCTCCCTCTTCTTCTTCGACCCACACCCTTCCACCTTGCAAAACGCCTGGGAAGGGCACTTATTGGCACAGAGCGATGGGCATTGGTGGCTGCACAAGAGGCGTTTCTCACACCGCTACTCGCACGACTGGCGGTCGCAGGGGGCACCGCAGGGGAGGGAGCACCGCCCCTGGTGCCTGCAGGTCCACCCGCAAGGCTCGGCGCACGCAGAGCAGGTCCGGTTGCAGGGTTGGGGGCGAGAGCTGTGTTGGCACACCACGAGGCATCGTTTGGTATAGGGCTTGCAGGGATTGCCGAGGTGGCAGGGGTCGGGGCAGCGGTGGCCGCAGGGGAGGTCGCGTTTGCATGGCTGCGTGCATTCCTTGTGCTTTCTCTCCAACTACTCCTGAACCTGCTGAAAGCCTATGCTGAGGTCGGTGTTAGTAGCTGGAGCAACGATGCAGAACAAGGTTGAAGCGCACGCCACCCGCCTTCGACTTACTCGAGCATGCAGACCTTTCACGTTTACACCTCCCTCAGGCAAAAAACAATTTTGCACGCCACCGCGCCACACGCCGTGATTTCCGCGACCATAGTAGAAAGTGCACTACTAGCGCTCGTCATCATCGCACATAGACAGGCAGACTTTACGCGGAACCGCCGTGACCTGCCAGTACTACCTACCACTATAGCAGCTCCCTCGCCGTGCTTACGCTGCGAATGTTTATGGCCGCACGCTTGCCTGCACGACGCGGCAAAGAACTCACAAGAGTGACTCGCCCTCGCGCTTCCCCACGCCACCGCACTAGGCCCCCGCGACCAAAGGTCGCCCCCCCCTGCCATGGCTAGCCGCAATCGCCCAGCGGCGCCCCCGATCGCGTTTGCGGAGATGGCAGCACGGGAACAGGACAGGGAGGTGCAGGACTGTGCTTGTAATGGGCTAACAATGCAAGAAGTTGCTTGTACCGGGCTGACGGTGCAAGAAGGTGCTTGTAACGGGCTGACAGCAACGAAAGGCAACGCTACTGCGCGCAGGGCAATAGCGGAGAGTACCGCGTATAGAGCATTGGAGGCGGAGGAGGTGCGCTGGCAAGGCCACCGCGATTTCATTGAGGATAGACCCGTGTGCAGCACTGTGCTAGTGAGTCGTAAGTGTGTGTGTGTGTGTGTCTGCCGTGCTGTGCTATGCCGTACCGTACCAAAGCGTACCTTGCCTTGCCGTGCCGTGCTATGTCATGCATGCAGTTGGCAAAACCGTGGCAGCTGGACTGCATGGCAAGTGGGTTGTGAAGTTTTGAAGGGTTGCTTGGAAGCAGGCAAAGGGTGAATGCGGCTACAGCATACAGCTAAGCTAGTCTGGTTGCATGCTGTTACCAGTAGTCAACACACCAGACACACTCATTCTCCTGCACCTCCTCTCTCGCAATTCCGCTGCACCATATTTCCGCTACACCATATTTCGCCCGCTAACCCACTCTGCCTGTTCCCTGCATGCGTGGCCCGACTGATTGCCCCTGCACCCTATCAGTCGGGCTATCTGCATCCTCTGCTGCCCGCCCACGCCCCCAAGCATGGCGAACTGCTCGAAGACATTCCCTCACGTGACGCCCCCTCCCTCTCGCCCCCGCCCGTGCGCCCTCCCTCTCGCCCCCGCCCGTGCGCCCTCCCTCTCCCCCCCGCCTGTGCGCCCTCCCTCCTGTCCCCGCTCGTGCGCCCTCCCTCTCGCCCCCGCCCTTGCGTTCCTCCATTTTCCTTGAAGGCACCTTGTTGACCCTTTTCCCTCTCTGACCCTACCATCCGAACGTTTCTCCCACATGTAATCCCCACCCATCAACCCACTGCTGCAGCTGCTCTTTCTTCCCCAAAACACTCCTCTCATCCCACCCTCCTCTCTTTCCACCCTTCCTCTCCTCTCCGCCCTCCCTCTCTACCCTTTCCCCTCCATCCCTCTATCTTCCTGTGCACCACACAGACATATCCAGCGCCATCATGCCAGGTCTAACGCACTGGTCGAGCCCTCGTTCCTTCAGCGTCTTCTCCTCGCCCACCTGTGCTGCCGCCATCTGTGCTGACGCCCTCATCAGCGCCCTCAACGTCGTCGGCTTCTCGTGGGCCACCGCCCCTACAGGCTGCAGCGACTGAGCTGTTGTGATGGTGGAGTTGCTGAGGCTATGTGATGAGTTCCACTCGGTTAAGTCAGGTGGGAGGAAATGGAGGGGGAATTGAGGTGGGGGGAGTGAGATGAGAGGTGGTGAAGGGAGAGGGAGGGAAGGGAGGTGGAGTGAGGTTAGGGAGGTAATGAGGTCATGAGCTTTGTTCAGCCGCTTGCTGTCAGATTCATTAGGCCATGTTAGCATCCGCAGACCAGATCACTCAGATTTGCCCATCCCTTCCTCCTCAATCTGTGGCGTGCTTGTCACCGTGTCAGTGTGTCACTTAGTCACGGTGTCATGGTGTCACGGTGTCACCTTGTCACTATGTCACTGTGTCACCGTGTCACTGTATCACTGTGTCACTGTGTCACTATGACTGCTGTGGCCGGCGAGCACGGACGGGGGCTTATTCACGGCACGGCCAGTGAGGCGCTGCTCAAGACACTGATGGCCGCCAAGCGGAGAGTGCTGGACCGCGTGGTGGGGCAGGGCGGCAGCGTGGCTGCAGCGACAGCAGCAGGTAGAGGAGTACAAGAGCACAGACGATGGAGTGGGTGCTTAGGAGGAGAGACGCATAACGAAGGGCCGGCTCATAGCGCACCTAAACGAGGTGGAGAGCATGCTAATATGGATGATAGGTTCAGCACGGAATGGCACGGAGGGCTGCTTTAGGAGCACAAGGGCGACACAGGAGGAGGAGCGGCCGGCAGTGGAGAGTGGCAAAGGAAGTACCATTGGCGCGCTGCTGGTGTGGGTGTGCGAGGCCAGGCTGCTCCCACGTTCCCATAGGGCAGTGTAGAGGATATAGCAATGCAGCGCCAGGTGCCACGTGGCTGGCATGCCCAAGGGCAACGTGTGCATGGTGCCCACCACCGCTGCACTGGCGTATGCCCTGACTGCTCTCCAACTGTTGGATGCGGTGCAGAGGGATGAGGCAACCGGCCTCATTCCCTTCTTCCTCGTCCCCACAGTAAGTGTGTGCGAGGTGCCTTCTTCTCTTCTTCTTCAAATTCCTATACGGGGAAGGTGCTTTGTTCCCCTCTCCCTCACTCTCACTGTACGTGGAAGGTACCTTATTCCGTTCCTCTCACATGTCATGATAAGCCACCTCGCACATGGGGCGGTGCTTGGCCGCATTTGTACCTCTGGTACGTTTCCCGATCGACCGGTGCTCGTCCTCATGTCCGCCCCTATATCGCCGCCAGTTACTCGGTTTCCCACTGCCACCACTGCTTGCCACCGCTGTATGCCACCACTGGTGCCTTTTGTATCATCTGCCTCATACCATGACCATGCACTGCCCATGACCATGTACTGCCCATGACCATGCACTGCCCATGCCCCTGCCCATGCCCCTGTTTGGCTCCTGCCATGCCCCTGTTTGCCCCTGCCGATTCTAATGCCCATGCCCATGTCCATGCCCATGCCCGTCCTCATGCCCATGCCACACCAGGACAGCCGGCCTCTGGTGAAAGCACTGCCAATACTGTCAGAATATCTGCGGAATAAGGTGGGCTACTACTCTCTTATTGCAGCAGTGATCTCGGCAGTGTGCTCTTATCACACGGAGTGTGCTCTTAGTGCACTGTTATCGTATCTTATTTGTGAAAATAATAGTTTGAAGAGAAACTAATGGATTGATTAGGAATATTAGTTTGTATGCATAGCTGGAGCTAGGAAGGAGGAGGGTGGTTGGGTACCTAGCCAACATAATTGACCCCCAACCAATAAGTTGGGTTGGGGAATTATTATGGGGATCCAAATGTTGTCCAAGTTGAGTTGGACCAACATTGTTGGTGGGGGACCAATAATCTCCCAACCCAACCTTTGGAGGCTAATAATTGGACCCTGGTTGGGTTCCAATTGTTAGAATCCCAACCACTAGACCATTGGGATAAAAGGGCTTGTTTCAGTAGCGGGTCAGTGCGCCCATAACCCCCCAGGCGAACGCGCCTGTAACCCTCTCCAGGATCAATCGGGCATCCACAGTGCAGATCTACTGACACCCCCCCACACTGGGAGGCCCAGGACTAAGCACAGCGGCAACGGCCTACTTGTGCATACACCGGGATTCGAACCCGAGACCGCTCTGATACCATGTCAGAATCCCAACCACTAGACCATTGGGATAAAAGGGCTTGTTTCAGTAGCGGGTCAGTGCGCCCATAACCCCCCAGACGAACGCGCCTGTAACCCTCTCCAGGATCAATCGGGCATCTACAGTGCAGATCTATTGACACCAATACCCAACTAGGGTTCACCCTAGTTTTACACCCAAACTAAGGTTGGGTGTCCATCTCTAACCAGACATTATAGGAACGATGCAGTTAATAAAACAATATAATATAATAGCAGCATGCTCTTATTCAGCGTGCTCTTATTTGGCGTGCTCTTATTCAGCCCGCACTTATGCTGCATGCTTATGTGCATTCATGCACACACGCACGCATTCACGCACACACACACACACACACACACATACACACACACACATACACACACACACACATACGCACACACACATACACACATACACACAAGCACACACACTCCCTTCCCTTCTATTTTCTCTTCGCCCCCTCCCCCCCAACCCATCATGACAAGCAAGCAACAGAGCTGTATGACGTGGGGACTACAAGAACTCAAGGTCCCCATCCGCCGCTGGTAATGAGCTGTTTTACAAATAAGAATCCACTCCCTCCCCCCTCCTCCCCTTCCCCACTCCCTCTCAACCTTTCGCTAATCAAACAATAGAGCGGCAACACGTGGTGGACAACAGGGACTGGGAGATCCTCATCGCATGCAGCTGATGATTTTTTAGTCCAACAGAACATCACTTTTTGTCCCCCTCATCTTCTCTCCTCTTCCCCCCCCCCCCCCCCCCCCCCCCCCCCCCCCCCCCCACACCCCCTTTCCCACTCCCACGAATCAGGCAATAGAGCGCGATCACCTGGTGGATTACAAGGACTAGGAGATCCCAATCGGCCGCCGCTTTAGGTGTGTTAAGGACAAAGTCTCTCCCTACCACTGCCTGGCATGGTGCATGGCATGCAGTGGGTTTGTTTCATTCCATCTTCACATAAACTCATGGAGTTTCCAATTCAATGTGGATAAGAATATATGGAATGTAGGCCTATTCGTACTCCAGCCAATTTGCACACCAGCACACCCATGCTCATACTTATGCCCATGCCTTGCCAATGCCACAACCGCCACCCACGACTCCCCCCCTTCTTTTGAAGGTCGTTGAAGCTGTGGATGGTCCTGTGGACATATGGGGCGGAGGGCATTCGTGCATACATCAGGTGCCACGTGGCACTTGCTGAGAGGTTCGAGGAGGCCGTGCGGCAAGATGAGAGGCTCCAAATGAGTGGGAGTGCAGTTTGCCATCATTGCCAGCATGCTCTATCTGGGCCACCGTCTCACACACCACCTTGGACTCTTCACACGTCCTCACACACCCTCTTACACACCTCTGCCTCTCTCCTTATATCGCAAGGACGTCACCATGCTACCCCGCTACTGCCCTCACCCCCCTCCCCCACTGCCCCCTTTGTGCCCCCCAGCTGATGGCTCCGCAACCCTTCGCCCTCGTCTGCTTCCCCCTCAAGCCTCCCTCTGCTCGCACACAGAGTGGGGTGGCGTGCACAGGGGTGGGCGACGGGAGAGTGGGCGACGAGGTGTCGGTGAGCGAGGGCAGCGTGGATGTAGGGAGGGAGGTGAATGCGGCGCCACTGGAGGCGATCAACAGCAGCGCGCAGGCGCATCTCTCTCACACAGACAGTGCTGAGCTCCTTGCTGCTTGGCTCCTCCATTCCTCAAATGTATCTCACTTGCACACTAACTCTTGAGACGTCTCTAAAGTACCGCACGCACGCTGTGAGCCCCAACAACATGCTGCTGCATGCCTGGTTCATTCGTCTGCATATGAGAGCATGACGCCATTTGACCTCCCAACCTGCCCCCCCGTGACAGTACACGCCGCACATGGCAATAGGGGTGGTGAAGACAGATGTTTGCGACGTCTCAAAATCTGAACTGGCGTCTGTAGTACACGATGCGCATGGCTGCGGCGAAGACAGATTTGGCGCATGTGCAGGCGGCGTGGAGGTTCATTCAATCGGAAGCTTCCAAGTTGCTGCAAGAGGTTGACTTCTCTGAAAGGGAAACTGTAGAAATGCTTCAAGCGTGTGAATAGTCTGCTTTGGTGAAGAAGTGGAATGATGTGTAGATGTATCGAAACAAAGACAACATCTTTCACATTTTATTGTAGATACACGCACATTATAACACTGCCTACGAACATTTTTATCGTCTTCTATGACAATTCAAGTTGCTTGAAGTAAATCAGTGTACACCCGAAACTTGGTGTACAAATGAAACATTGGCGTTGAGCCTTGAAACAAGGCTGGAAAATCAATACCAAAACAAAAAAACCTCAAGAATCAGTCTATTTGACCCAGACCAGCATCTTTATGCTGACTTTTGGGTGCCTTGCATTGCAAGAACAATACCGTACCAGTGGTTCCCTCCCAAACCTGTTACTTTAAACCCCGTTGAGAAAACCAGTGGCTCTCTCGTTTCCCTCCGTGAGTGTATGGTGCGTTCCGCCCACCACCTTTCCACACTCAAGGCAGTGAGACTCCTCCATTGCCCCACTACACTCCCAGTCGCATACACATGCCCATTGTGGCACTGGTATGAGTGATTTCCTCCCACGCCTATGACCTTGAAGTTGTCAGCCTTCTCTCGCTCGGTCATTGCAAAGTATTGAGCTGCCCATCACGACCGAGTACCCATCACGAATCCTGTGGAGTAACTCATGAAGAATCGTTTGACATGATTTTTTTAACAGTGTCCTTGAAATAGCCTTAGGACTCTTAAGCGCGTCAGCCGAACTGACTCGTTTTTTAAAATTTGTAGTTTTTCCTAAACGATCGAGAGGGACCCTCCCTCATAGATGCTTGCTTGTCAGAAATTTAGTAAGGATGTTGCTCCAGAAACCCGTTCCTCACTTCATTCTTTGCTTCCAACTAATTGGAGCAAAGCGCTGACAAATACTTGTTCCATAGGCTCCAATCTTATGTATTCTCATCGTCCCTTATTCCGCCGTTTCCAATTGGTTAATACACAGTAGAAAATGCCACTATTAGATGGGAAGAGTTGCGTTTAACGACTCAAGAGCTTAGAAAATGGGGGGAGGCTTTTTTCTGCGAAGTGCGCGCCCACGCGAAGCACTTCTTCCGCCGACCCCTGCGCGCCCCCTGACGGGGCTAGTGTCAGACACAATAGCTAGAATGAAGGAGCCATAGCTAGGGTTTAGCTATATAGGCAAGAGAGAATAGGCAAAAGATGTTGGATGCACGTCATTCTGAGTGCATGTCATCCTAACGTCCTACCGAGTGCTCGTGCTATTTGTGCTTGCATGATTTGCATGAGCATATGTTATTGTGCATGGCTGTTGGATAGTTTCATTGCTGATATTATCAAGGATCCAGTGGACAGGATAGAATCTGTTAAGTCTGAGAGGAGACAAATGAAGTCTCTGTAGTGACCTTGTTGAGTAATAATTGAAAGAGAACAAGATGATTGAAAGATAGGAGTACAAGGGATTAAATAGAAATCTAGCTAGCCATGTACTATGAGGGGTACATTCCCTTATTAACTGTATTGCATAGCTACAGTAACCGTGACTATTGCTATCCTCGACAGTTACCATGTTGCAGTGAATTAACTGTCGCGCGGTTATTGGATTGTGAAGGGTCACGACCATTGACTTCCTCAAACGGTTGACCTTCGGGTGACCCTCGACATTCCGCATGCTCTATATGAGCTATTGCGGTACTGGTGCAGTGGAACAGCTTTGGGAATGCTTTATGTAACCTTTCGGTTATTCCAACACCCCCCTTCATTCCTAAAGGTGGGCCACGTGGGATTTCTTGGTGATCCCGCAGAGGTTGGCGCAGCGTTGGTACTGCTGACGTGGCAGCTTCTCTGTTAGAAAATCAGCTGCCATGTCACCGGTCGGGCAGTACGTCAGCTTGACTTTCCCCTTGTCGATTTCATCCTTCATGAAGAAGTAGCAAAGGGCGATGTGCTTGGTGCGGTTGACGAAGCTGGGCTTGTTCGCGATCTTTTCCGCGCTCTGATTGTCACAGAGTAACGTGAAGTGCCCGTTCATCGTCACTTTCGCCTCTTGCAGGAGCTCCATCAGGTACAGTCCTTCGCGAACAGCTGCGCTAGCTGCGATGAATTTTGCTTCTGCTCCTGCTTCTGAGAGCTCCAAGAGATGAGTCCCGCTAGTTGGAGTTGAAAAATGAATCCTGTGCGGGAGCGTCGGTTGTCAACATCTCCAGCGTGGTCGGCATCTACGTAGCCATGGAGCTATAGAGTAGCGGTGAGGTTAGCTTCGTAAGTGAGACCGACGTCGGGAGTGGAGATGAAGTACTCTAGTGCTCGGCGTAGATCAAGTAGATTCTCCCCTTCAGGTCGCTTCAGGTACTGTGCGAGCTGGCTTGCGACGTAGGAGAGATCGGGCCGGCACGTGACGGCGGCGAACAGGAGACATCCCAGCTGCTGCTGATAGAGACGATGGTTGTCGGGAGAGAGCGGTGTGGTGTCTGGCTCGTGGTTAGGAGGAGGAGTGCGATAGGGGGTAGTGAGGTCGATTGGTGCGATGGAGAAGCGCTTCGCGAGTGTTTCGGCGTACTTGGCGGCGGAGAGGTGAATGGAGGAGGCGGACTGAGTCACATTGAGGCCGAGAAACTGGGTGACGTTGTGATTGATTGTCACCTCCAGTTTCTCTTTGATGTCAGCCTCAAACTGGTCCAGCAGCTCCGTGTCGTCGCCGGTGAGGAGAAGGTCGTCGACGTAGGCAACGAGGAGTACAAATTTCCCGCGTGATTTCTGCCTGTACATTCCAAGGTCGTGCGGCAGCTGAGTGAAGCCGAGCTCAAGGAGGACGGAATGGAGGTACTGCTGCCATAGACGAGGCGCCTACTTGATTCCGTAGAGGGAACTTTTGGAGGAGGCACACGACGCCATCATTTTCTTCGAATGCATGCGGCTGCTCGACGAAAATGATGGCATCGACGGGAGCGTAGAGGAAGGCGCTGCCGACGTCGATTTGGCGGAGCGGTCGCTGTTTGACGGCGGCGATGCAGATGAGAATGCGTACCGAGGTGAGAGTGAAATCCACCAGGTGTGTTTGCTCAAATCCCCGCACTACCCAACGCGCCTTGTACCTGTTGATCGAGCCATCTACGAGAGTTTTGATATGGAAAACCCATTTGCCGCTGAGAATTTTTCTCCCCTTTGCCGATGACCGAGGGACCAACTTCCAGGTGCCACGTTTCTTCAGCGATGCGATTTCGGTGGCCATGGCTGCTTTCCATTTTTCACTGTCGAGGCCAGATAGGGCTTGGCGGACGGTGGTTGGTTCCTTGGGCGAGGTGCAGCGAACAGCGACGGCGAGGCCGAGGACGCGGAGACCGGTTTCATCAGTCTTTTCGTAGTGAAGTCGGTCATAGTCGTGGAAGTTGGTAACTTCGACCACGTCGTCATCGCTGTTGTTGCCGAGGCGGAGGGTATCCTGCGACATGTTGGGTTGTGGTAACTCGGCATCAGGTGATTGGCGCGCCTCACTGTTGTAGTCATGAGCCGCGCGAGCTGTATCGTTAGGATCGGGTTGGTGTAGAGGTACGAATATCGGAGTCTCGAATTGGCTTGTGAGGGGGATGCTCGGAGCGGAGTCCATTGGGGTAACATCAGATGCGTCTGCATCCTCGGCCAGGTCAGCTTCGTCGTGTGACGTGGCGAAGCTGCGGTGGCCCTCGAAGAGCCTCTTGGGAAGTTTGTCGGCTTCCTGGTACTCCTTAAAAGGGGCAGAGTCAGCTTCTCGTAGAAGATGCAGTCACGTGATTTCGTCACCTCGTGTGTCGCGTAGTCCAGCACGATCCACGCCTTGAATTCCTTCTCGATCCCGAGGTGAATGCCCCATCGTGCCCGGTCAGAAAATTTTCCGGTTCTCGCAGTGTGGGGTCTGTACTGTACCATGCAGCCAAACACCCGAAGCAGGTGTGAATCTGCTTTTCTGCCCGTCCATGCACGGTAGGGAGAGCTGTTGTTCTCGAGGCTTCGCGAGGACAGCAAGTTGTGCAGCCGAACAGCGTGATTCATCGCAAACGGCCAATATTTTCTTGGGATGGCCGACTGCTTCATCAGGGCCCTCACCCGCGTGGCGAGGCTTTTGTTTGTCCGTTCTGCTACTCTTTGCTGTTGGTGAGCGTAGGGCAGGGACACCAGGTGCTCAATCCCCTTCTGCTTGAGGAGCTCCTTGAACTCGTCTGAGAAGAACTCCAGGGCTCCGTTTGTCGGCCAGGTTTTGAGTTTGAGACCGGACTGTCGCTCAGCCCGCTTCATCCACGCAATGAAGCACTCGAAGGCCAGAGACCTGCTGTCGGTGTTGACTGTCAACGGGAGTTGGGTATTGGCCCCGTCCTCGCTTGGGCGGAGCCGACTTTGTGGTCGGGTGTGAGGGGAGCAGCCGACCTGCAGCAATGGGCGAGCTGGTCGACGAGGAGGTCGATCTGCACGGGGGACCACTGCACGGGCGCCAACTACAGGGTGGTGCCAACTTCGGGGAGGTCGACTTGGGAGTCGACCTGCGGAAGACGTCGAAGCCGACTTAGGCGGTCGGCTAACGGACCGCTGGTCGACCTGTGGGTGGTCGACTAGACCTGGTGGTCGACGAAGGAGGGACCGACGTCGACCTTTACGCAAGACGCCGAGCAGTCGGGCGTCGAGTAGCGGGGCGTCAACTTCGTGACGCGCTTCGGGCGGCCGACGTGGG